AATATAAGTCTACTAGATTTATATTTAGTTTTATGTAAGTTTTAGACTAAATATATGCCTTTTGGACTTACACAGTAGAAAAATTTACAGGCAAGAGCAAACTTTAATGCTTTAAGAGATTTTGATTTTTGATTAATATGATAGTTTTTATATATATAACTTGTATTTTTAGATTGCTTTTATAAAACTTGGCATTATTTAAACACCAAATATTGGCAAATAAGTTCAAAAAAGTTTATATCATTTCTAAACAATTTAGGAATAAACACTAAGTTGCATACAGAACATCTGCCATATTTACATTTTTCTCTTTAGAAGGTATATGAAAACTTTAATTGTATTTTGCTAGCACTATTAGAATTTTTATCTGAGTTTACAAGGTCATAAAAGAACAGAAGTTGAGTAATGACTATCTTATCTTGATGTTGTCTCATAAAAGCACGTATTACCTCTTTTTTTTTTTTTTTTCTTTCCCCCTTGAGGATCCTAGAAATCATCTTGATTTTTCTAATGTAGTCAATGAAATGGTCATTTTGAAAAAAGTTTGTTTGGGGTTTTGCCTTTTGATGAGATAATTTACAAGAGTATCAGCTATAGTAGCTTAATTGATAATACACAGTTAAAAAACTCTGCTCTATATTCTGTGCTTTTAATATTCCTAACACCTCCTTACCTTGTTTAAATAACAGGTCTTATTAAGACAAAATGTTGTCTTGACTCTTAAAACTGGGCCTTGAGATAGACACTTTAATGTATTTTTTCACATTTAATGAGGGCACCAGCTACTTCTTAATAATACCGATAACAGTACAATAAAACTATGTTATTAATAGTCTCTCTTGCATTAATATTGATCTTTGCATCTCTGTTGGTAGCTGGCATGAAGCCAGGGTAGGACTGACTAGTTGTGTAGTGTAGATAATTGCTGTTTTAGTGATCTCCATCTGACATAAAGTTCCCTGTGGCCATACGGAATAGTTTTGATAACTCAAAGTTGGTTATGAAACTCATTAGGGAGAAGAAGGGAATGGAACATGTTTTATGTTTGCTTCTCTGCACCTCAGTTACACCCATAACAGTTGGATCAGTTAATAATTGAATCCCATTCTCCTAACATGCAGTGAAAGGCTCTCCATTTAATGAGCTTTCCAAGCTACAAATGGAGCATAGACAAGGTACTACATACCACTTTGTAGTAGTTCATTGGTTGTAATTTATTCAGAACTTGATAAATGAAGTCAAGAAAAAAATGAGCAGCTGTAAAACAATTAACGTCTGAAATACTTGTTCTTGTGTATTGGGACAGTGTTCTACTATGTCCAGTGTCAGTGATTTGGAGACACTTAATTTGTAATAGAGGCTTGTACTTTTACAGATTGACTACTTAGGAGAAAAGTAAACAAAGCGCTGAGTAGTGGGTGCACTGTTACTCAGTGTTACTCAGTGGGTATTGCCTCCAGATACCAAATTGATGCTACCATGTATAGCAAAAGCAGATACATTTGTTGTGCTTAAACACAGATTAACAAAACATATTTATTTGTAACCATATTTCAAAAAATGTGTTTCGGGTGCTGTAACTGATAAATGAGTCCTGAAATGTGATTTTTGTCATAGTTACTTTAAGAATACCTGAATACCTTTTGATAGTTAACAACTATTTTTCTTCCCATGAAAAACATAGAGTAACCTGATTTTTGAATCCTTATTGCTGAAATGCTCAAGACTTTCAGATAGTAAAGTTCCTTAGTAATACTCATTTCATTTCATGTGACGTGGAAATTATACCCCATGAA